TAGCAGAGAATAAAGTATTTGTGACTYCTCTGGATATTTCTCTGGGAGCTTTACATGGGTTATGTGCTAAGGGGTCCCTGTTACCCAGCTACTGGTAAATCTAGTTTTGGTTTTATGTTCTTCACAGTTTATGCTTTAGATGAAGAAAACATCCCACCCCTCAGTATGAGATAAGAGACCTTTCAGTGGTGGTGTGCAGCTTCCCTTACTGTGTGCAGGGCTTCTGGGATGATCTGCATCTGGAGCTGAGTGCCAGAGTCTCCTTTGTGCAGCAGGGCCAGGGAAGCATCAGAGACAGGTCTGTCCACCACGAGGAGATTCACTCTCCTGCACCTTGGGAAGATGCAGCACCTGTCATGAGAGAGCAAAAGGCATCAGTGCAACACCAGGGATTGTTCTTACAACAACAGGGATTTCCTCCAGTGGAACTCCTTGTTGCTCCTGCAGCARTGCTCATCCATGGGGGAATGTTTGTGTAAGTCTCTAGTTTGGAGGAGAAGGGTTCAAAATGAGCCCTGTGCATTGGCCACTGTCAGAGGATGAGGGGCCTGTTGGGCAGGGTCGGAGCTGGTGGGGCTCAGCCCTTGGTGAGCTGTGGCACTGAAGCTCTTGGTTGTTTGTTTGAGCTGTGCAGGAGCACTTTGGCAGCCAGGGCTGGCTCTGGCTGTGTGTGGGAGGGAGGAGGGCCCGGCAGCCTCTGTACTTTGCTCAGGACTCGGCACAGTTGGCTTGGGAAGGGGGATAGAGCCTTTCCCGTGCTTTGGAACTTTGCTGATCACGGATTTGCGCTCGGGAGCACGGCTGTGTAAGTAGGCAGTAAAAAAATGCCCGGGCTTTGGGGCCTTTGGCTTGGCTTGTTGGGTTTGAAACAGGACTTTTAGTGGGTGTGCTGAAACCTGTTCTCCTTGTCCTGCTGCTCCTCTCCCACGATACCTCCCTTGTCCTGGGAAGGAGAGAGGTGCTTCCCTGACTGAGTGCTTGGGGAATCATCATCAGCCTGTGACCCGTGTAGGGCCCAGCTGGGTCACCTCTGCGGGATTTGCCATTGGGGGTAATGGTCCTAACAGAGTTTAGGCTCTGTTAGCCTTTAAAATGCCCTCAGTGTATCTTTTCCCTGAACAGATCTGCCTGCTTCCCACGTGTGGTTGTTTCCCTGTCAGCAGTTCTTGGAGCTGGGTATGAGGAAATGCAAGCAAAAGCTGACATTGCATAAATATCACAAGTTTAGCGCTTCTGTCTTACAGATAAAGTAATGCTTTTGTTGCTTTTCTTTTTAGGATGTGCTTTACAAAAATGATRCTTGTGTGAATGCAGAAACAAACCTTCTGCAGCTTTACTGAAGCCTGCCCTGGTCTGACTCTGGGAGAAAAACGCTTTGCTCTGTTGCTTTGTGCAGACTAATAAAATAAACCCTTTTGACTTGCAGATCTCTTGCCACTATGAATTAAGTCTTGTTTGATGCAAATCTCCCTTTCAGTTATGCTTTTCTTAYACCTTGATTTTGAATCTTTCCTTTAGATCACGGCTTGCATGACGTTTTTCTTTCTTTTCCTTTCCTTTTGCTGTTTGCAAAGACTCTTGGGAGGATTTGACAGATGTGGTGGAGCAATTGCGCGATGATTCCGAAGGTGCGTTCCACACCCACATCTCACAGCTCTTGTTTGTGCTAATCGTTGGCTTCTGCACTATTATTTTGAGCCTTAGTGCAAAATGCAGTTAGTTTTCCTTTCCTTCCAGTGCCAGTAGCTGTGGCTTTCTTGCATTTTCTCGATGTTGCTTAAATAAATGTTTGCTTTATTTTTACTATTTTGATTTTAAGTGGAGGTAGAAGAAGTGAATCAAAAAGGGCTATTTGCYGCCTTCTAAATGCTTTCAGAGGCATTGGTTTCCTGAGCCTGGCAGAAGCACAGCTTAAAAGGTTGCAGCAACATATGGAAGCTGAATTTAAAAACATATTGCAGAAATCAGCCATCAGCCTGAGGCCTCAGATTTTCTGCAGTATTTCTGTCTTGATTCTTCAGATCTTCTGGCCTTATTTGCCAAGCCTTGGCAAAAATGATTCTAAAACTTGTATTGCATATAACTTGTGAAGTATTAAATGAGAAACTTACTTACAATGCTTCTTTCTTGATTTTTAAAAACAGTGCAAATGTGAAATTGTTGAATCCCCAGTGCAGCAAGTGATAAGTAAATTGATACTCTGATTAAATACCACTGCTCCTGCTTGGGATTCMAGTGTTTGCATCACTGATGTTCTCATGCACTGAGCACATTGCTCCTTGCTGRTCATCTTCCATGGTGGTGCCTTTAATTGCTGTGCTGGTTCTGTGCTGGGTGCTGCCCAGCAGCCTCCTCAGCCACAGGCAATGTCCTCTTCTCTCCTGGCACAGCAGCCCAAGCTGCTTCCCAGAGAAGGGCATTTCCAAGGCAGGCTTTAAGGGATAAAGGGTGCTGAGAGTTGTTTTCTTCAGAAAATATCATACCAGTTATTTTGCATTTATTTTGTCAGGTGAGATAAAATGCCACATGGTAAATTGCAGGTTACTTTAAGTTGTGTTCTTGGTGTAAGATGGAGAACCTTGCTGAAATGCTAATGAATTGATTGGCATTGCTTTCAGTGGATTTRTTCACTGCTCCAATGTCTCACCATTCCCTGCCTTTGATCCAAGTTTTAGCATCATTTTAGTTGTTTCTTCCTTGTTTTAAGAGTATGAGGAGTGATAAAATTTATTGTCATCAAATGAGAAGTACAAGACCACCCACAGCTTAACTCTTTGAGATCCTGTATTGCACTGACTCTTTCCTTGACTTTCAGGTTCCTGGGTACAGGTCGTACCTTTTAAACAAATTACAGGATTCTTGGATGCTTTTGGAAACATCTTCATGGAAGCAGCTGGTTAGAAAAACATGTGTTCTGTAGAAGCTGCAACATCTAAATAACAATGTGTTCTGAGGGTTTGATTCCTCTTTTGAAAYCYAACCCCATGAAAAGGCAAAGTTCARGTGCTGGGGTTTTACTTTTAAGGTTTCCCATTTGGGATGTGTAGGAAAGCCCAGGCAGAGGTTYGTAGGGGCAGAAGGAGGAAGTTGGAGAAGGTACCAGCTCAGATGGAACATGCCAGGTCCATGCCAGCATCAGGCTTGTCCCAGCTTAAAGCCAGCCTGACATTTTTACTGTGTAAAAGTCAGCCTTGCCTGCCTACCCTGCCTTCTTTAAAGGTGTGTGTGGTGCAGTACATAGAACAAGAGTATAAATTATTTAGCATTTAATTTTTGGAATAAACCTTAAGGATTTTATCCAGTTTCGTACTATATAAGTTAATTGGTTTGTAAGWTGACAATCTTGGATAAACTGCATGTGCACAGCATAGCAGAGTAATGAAGCAGAAACCTTTGATTAGTGTGATACGGTGTAAATATTTTTCTCTTGGAATTAGCTAATAACCTCAGCCAAAGGAGCATTTTCCTTGGTGCTGTCTTGCACAGTTCCTTTAATTCTGCATTAGGGGTCAGTTTGCCACCCAAGCACAGTCMCTGTGGATGTCTGCCTTGCTGCCCATCGGATCAGTGACCTTGGCCAGTGAGGAAATGTGATGAGAGAGGATGTKAGAGAGGATGAGGAGGTCTCTGTGTTTTGGCAGTGCTATGCCTGGCTTTTTTCCTGACTGCAYTGCCAGTGATGGTGACTGTTAGCTACACTGCAGGTCATAAAATGGATTGGAAATRCTCAGGGTACACCCAGATCAGCCAGACCCATCACCTTCAGACAGCATTAGTCCTGAAAGGCAMGGAAAACCCCTGACWAAGTTCAGTCTTTSTGYAGTCCAATGCTTCTCTGTGCATTGYRCTCCTAAATGGGTATTGGAAGTTCTTTAAACTATGGAAGCAAATTAGAGAAGGARACTTCTGGTGCTGCTTCACTCTGAAGAARAWGGRGATAAGAGAAGCTCTGTCCTGAGCTGCTTTTGGAATGGTAAACAAATGAGGCATGGTATCAGCTTTGGATGGTGGCACTGCCCTGGCTCTTCCTCYCCCAGTGCTGTGGATTTTTCCCAGCCCACAGTGACATAAACTCAGGTGTGGTTTCATCAGCTGTGCTCTTGGCTCTCTGTTTGGCTGCTGGGTGCTGACAGGGTGTCTCTTGCTTGGATCTGCAGTCTGAGGTGTCCTCTGGTCACATCTCTGCTGCCAGGAATAGTTMATTTATTTGAGAGGGCAGCAGGTTGGTTCCAGGGTCCCTGGCTGTTGGCAGCAGCCCTGGAAAAATGGGCTTTTCATGGATGAARCCCAAGAACTGGAGCTCAAAAACTTGGTGTGAGTAACAGGTCTAAAGGTCTGGATGTTTATAATATGGTAGARGAAGAATACAGTCCTGGGAGATTCGTGAGGTTTGGGATTTAATATGACCTATCAGGAGCCATGAAGATCTGCTCCTTCTCACTGGTGACAACCAGTGGTAGTGTTAAAATCAAGAGAGATAAGTGGCAGTTAGCTCCATGTTATATGTAAATTTAAAATAATGAGCTTGAGGAAGAGAGATGCAAGTTGGGATAGAGACACATGTTTCTGGATTAAATGTGAGTGGGTACATGGTGTTCTTTAGATGGAAGAAGAAACCACAAGTGGAGGATTCTTAAGGGTTTGTAGCTGGGGATGTGAGTTGGAACAAGTGATTGTCGTGGCAGTCAGAGACATTGTCAAGGTGCAAAGCACAGGATGAACACCAGGCTGCAAACTCCCTTCCTGAAAATAGAGTATCTGTAGTTATTTGAAGGCACCCTCAGTATGGTTCATTGTTCATTGCCATGCCATTTGGCTTTGGCCATCAAATGCTAGTTGATGTTGATTTTTCTCCACAAAAGGCCTGCAGAGTGCCTCCTGTGAAACTCACTGCCCCAAAAATGCTTTCAAAGGTGGGGAACAAAAAGAACAAGGTGGGGTGTTGGCTGTAAGAAACCCAACTTTTGTCACTGAGCAGCATTTTGCTTGCTTTGTTGCAGACCCCAATTACCTCATGGCTAATGAACGCATGAACCTGATGAACATGGCCAAGCTGAGCATCAAGGGGCTGATCGAGTCTGCGCTGAACCTGGGCCGSACACTGGACTCTGACTATGCCCCCCTGCAGCAGTTCTTCGTGGTGATGGAGCACTGCCTCAAGCATGGCCTCAAAGGTAACCTCAGCCTGGGCTGGGGAACATCACTGTGGGGTGAAAACAGCACTGCAACCTGCACGGGACTGAGGGGAGGCTGAGCACAGTCACTTCTGTCATCTCAATGGACTGGGCAGGACAAAGGAAGGGACAAAAACCTGCTGGAGGGGGAAAGTTCACGCACTGCAGGTGCTTGCCATGCTTAAAACAGTGGTTTAGTTGTCCCGGGTAGAACTCAGTGGTCAGGGATAAAATAGGCTTTTGGCAAGCTTGTGACTCCTTTTTCTGCGCTTGGTTGTGCCTTAGAATGCATCCCCGTGCCACAAGAGGAACTGCAACCCCAGAGTTCCTTTCTCAGTAGCTCTGTTTAAACTGAGGGCTTGGGCAGTGCAGCTCATGGCTTGAAGCTGCCTTGAAAGCAGAGCATGTGTTTGACTGTGAAATCCTGAGTCACAGCTCAAATGGCCAGCTACAGACTGTCCTTTAGGTGTTGCCCTTGTGTGGTAGTAGCTGGGGGTGGAAAGCAGAGGGCCATGGAAACAGATGGTCTTTAGGGCCCTTCCCACCCAGACCATCCTGAGATCCCAGGATACCCAGTGCCTGCCCAGCAGCAGCCCCACAGGAACCATTCTGGCRGATTTTGGCTACTTCTGTTCACCTGTCTGCGAATGCATTGTATCAGCATGGGTCTAACAATTATTTTTTAATGGTTTTTGGTTTTTTGTTTGTTTTTTAGCCAAAAAGACTTTTCTTGGGCAAAATAAGTCATTTTGGGGACCTCTAGAATTAGTAGAAAAACTCGTTCCTGAGGCTGGAGAGATTACAGCAAGTGTTAAGGATCTCCCAGGGCTGAAGTAAGTATGCTCCTTTACTGCATGAGTACATAATCTGGGCTTATTSTGAGAAGGATCCTGAGGAAGAGAAGGGCAAACAGAACCTTCTGCTGATAAAAAAGGGTCATTGCTCTCCTACTCTTTGTCAAAATCTGCAGTGGGAGAGGATGGGATATATTCCTGCTGTGTTAAGAGCGTGGCAACTTCTGGACAGCAGTGCATTTACTGCTAGCACTTGAGGAGTGGTGATGTGCCTCAGGCATGAGGACAGCCTTTACTGAGCATTTGTGAAGTCAGGCTCAAGAGGAAGGGAATTAACAGGAAGCTTATAATGTTTTWAATAGTTTTGAGGCTGATGTAGGTAATTCTTCGTTGAAATAAATTCAGGTAAAGTTTGTGTGAGAGGGAAGCTCAGGACCAAGCTGGAGAAGATAGTAGTTTGTGTTAGAGGGGATGCAAAAAGCCACCCTAAGCATATATCCTAAAAATTTTGTGGCTGTTTCAGACATCACATTCAGGCCTGCTTATTTCCTGGTAAAAGAAATTGTAAGAAGCTTTCAGCTTGGAATAGTTAGGAAGCTTTTGTATGAGCAGCAGGACTAAGGATGGAGTCATCTTCACTGAAAGAATAGGTGGACAAATCCACTAAATTGCTTTTGGGTATTTAGTGATGTACACATGGATAAGTGCTTTTACTGGAGAGCTGTGCAGGACYTCTGCAGCAGCTGACAGGACCTGGGCTGTGCCAGAGCTCTGGGTAACTCTTCCTGCTGTAGAAGAGCACTGCAGTAGGAAATGAATGGAAGTAAAGATCAGTTTAAGAATAAGTTTCTAAACCGTGCATTCCTGGTGACCCTTTGGAAGTGCCAGGTCCTGTTAGTGAGTCAGGACTGGGCAGCACTGGCCTAGAGAAATAGAGGAGTAAGGACTGGGACTCGAGCCCATGGCATCCTGTGAGGGCATTCAGGAGCAAAGCCCCCGAGGAAGGCAGYACTGACTTGGTGTTCTGAGCTGTCTGGCTGGATTCCCACCCAGCCTGACCCACCCCAAGGAGTGGTGTTGGGCAGCTGTGCTGCTGTGTGCACGTTCCTGGGATTTGGGCAGGACTGCCTGTGACTCAGAAGGTGAGGAGCTGAAGCAGCTGATCTGTCTGGCAGCATCCAGCAGGGATAGAGCAGGAGAACTCTTTTAGTATGACAGCAGAAACATCCTGAGTTATGAGACAAACAGTGATGGTTTAATCAGTTTGGACCTCTTTGTGCTTACATACCTTGTATTTCCCTGCTTGCACCAGTGCCAGCTCTGTGTTGGAAGTGCAGAAACTTGAGGTAGGGTGGGGTTATTGGASCTGTTGTTGATGGTGCCTTGCAGGGTGTCTGGAAATGTTTGTTTGTGCCTTTGCAGGACACCTGTGGGCAGAGGAAGAGCTTGGCTTCGCCTGGCTCTGATGCAGAAGAAACTTTCAGAGTACATGAAAGCATTGATTAACAGAAAGGATCTTCTCAGGTGAGTGCTGGACTCATTCTCAGGTTTGCTTCTGCTCTTTTATAAGATCTTGATCATCTTTCCCATCTCACTCCTCTGTCTCTCTTGCTGTGCACCTTGCAGTGAGTTTTACGAGCCCAACGCACTGATGATGGAAGAGGAAGGTGCCATCATTGCTGGCCTCCTCGTAGGTCTGAACGTCATCGATGCCAACTTCTGCATGAAGGGAGAGGACCTGGATTCCCAGGTACTGAGTATGCAGTTAATGGGTTTGTTCTGCTCATTTARACTGGAAAATTCATTAATTYTGCATGACTTACTGATGTAAAGAAYTCTAGCTGTAGTACAGCAGGTGCTCTAAACTTCCACACCTAAGGACAGTGGGTTGGTTTTAGAAACCAAGTGTTTATTGTAAAATATAATTTTTTCTTCTCCAGGTTGGAGTTATCGATTTCTCTATGTATTTGAAAGATGGGAACAGCACCAAAGGCAGTGAAGGGTAGGTACAYACACAGTTATCCTGCTGCTCCTCTCTTGGGAATGTGTCTTCAAGTATTCCAGGTTGCTCTGTTTCTTTTTTCCAGAGATGGTCAGATTACTGCTATTTTGGACCAGAAGAACTATGTAGAAGAACTCAATAGACATCTAAGGTAAAATATGCTCTCTTGGCTTGTTATTGTTTTGTGGAACCAAAGAGAAAATGGGATTTTAAAATGTGAAGGAATTACTATAGGGTTTTTTCTCTTATCTTTACAGTGCAACAGTAAACAACCTGCAGGCCAAGGTGGATGCCTTGGAGAAATCCAACACAAAATTGACTGAGGAAGTAAGTGTCATGGAAAACCACCTGATGCTTTGGGAATTAGGGATTAACCAGGGAGGGAGGAGTTCCTTCCAGATGGTTGGTGTACAGAATGATGGGTGTTTAATGATGGAACTGGGATAGCTGACCTGCCAAGGACTTTCACCGGCTGTCACTACTGAGCACAGTTTGGAAAATCAACTGTATGTTTATGTAAATTTGCAAAAAGTAAAGGAAAAAATGTCATTTTGAGTAAAACGTCCAACCTGCACATGAGAAACAGCGAGTACATGTGGCATAGGTGCAATCCGTGTTTCAACACAGGTCTTGCAGCTCATTAGTAATGGCATAAATGTCATAAAATGTTTTGGGGTCAGTTCCCTGACTAATGGGTGACAGGATGTCTTATCTGACAAAATAAGTGGCTTCTGGTGTATTACCTGGACAGTGATGTGGTACCAGGAGAGGAATTGCAATGGTGCCTGCAGTATTTTGGGGTGGATAATGAAGTTGCTGAGGGAAGCCTGCAGAGCTGTGCAGTGAGGCTGCAGTGACACCAGCACACATTGTGCCCGCCATGGTGTGGGTGATGAGCTGTGTCACACATCACAGCCATGTGTGCTTCAGGCCTGAGCTCTGCCAGGGGTTCACCCTTGCATCGGGGCAGTTCTCTCAGGGTTTGTCACTGGGCAGCATGGCTGAGCCCTTGGAATGTCTCTGAGCTGCTCCTGTGCGTGAGCCTCACGTAAGGTGGGAGTTACAAAGCCAGAAGGAGTTTCTCAAGTTACCTTTGCCATTCACCACACACTTACATTGATCTRTTGGTCTGCCATCCCTGGGAGCTCCTCTGAGCCAGGTGTCCCATTCCTTAGGGTGCTGTGTGCTGCTCATCCTCTATTTCCAGCCACATCCTCCTCATCTGCTGGAGTCCAGACAGCAGAAACCAGTGCAGTAGGTTTTGATGCATTACTGTTGTATTTTGTCCCCAGCTTGCAGTTGCCAACAACAGGATCATTACACTGCAGGAAGAGATGGAGCGGGTTAAGGAAGAAAGYTCCTACATCCTGGAGTCCAGTCGCAAGGTTGGTGTGTGTGTGTGTGTGGGGATGGTTACTGAGCCCTGGGGCAGGGTTTGGAACAGTTGATTTCCTTGTGTGCCTCACACAAAGCCCACAGTGGATTAGAGGAACTGCAGGTAGGMCCTGTACAGAGGGAACAGATGGGCTCTGGCCACAGGGAATCCTGCCTGGCCATGGGGATGGAGCAGGGAGCGTGCAGAGCCAGGAGCTCCCACAGCTCATGTGCACTGGGAAAGGTGTCAGGGGACAGGAGGGAGGGGGCTTACTGASAGGGGCAGGAAAATGGGAATATAGGAGYTGTGCTGCTTTGTCCTGAACTGTTMCAGATCTCCAAGTGTTGGGGGAAAGCCAATAATGAGGCCAAGTGAGGGCTGGCAGTACCCAATGCCAAGTGAACTGTGTCTTGTTACCTCAGGCCACCAAGGACAGAAGTGCTGACGGGCAGGCACTGACTGAGGCACGGAAGCAGCTGAAGGAGGAGACTCAGCTGAGGCTGGTGAGGACTGGGGCACTCGGGGTCACCCCTCAGGGCTGCAAAGGGTCACTGCCATGCTGAGCTCTGCTTCGGTACCTGTGGGGGCAGAAAAATGCGTGACCTGAAGGTACTTAGGAAATAAAATCTGCTTTAGGAAATAAAATCTGCTTTAGGAAATAAAATCCTAGACCCCTCCATCCCAAAGACAGGCCCATGTAGAATTCTCTGACTCTGCTAGCCATGCTGCACACCTGCCTCTGATACTGGACCAAAAACTGTGGAGTTACTGTCCTTGAGGCATGTGTCAGATGTGTGACTCTGAAGCTGTGGCAGTGCAGCACACTCTCTGTGGGCAGGGACTGCGTGGGCAGAAGGGAAGGGTGGTTACCCCCTGAGTGATGAGGGGAGCTCCTGGAAATGCTGAGGGATTCCTGTGTTCCAGGATGTGGAGAAGGAGCTGGAGGCACAGATTGGGATGCGGCAGGAGATGGAGCTGGCCATGAAGATGCTGGAGAAGGATGTCTGTGAAAAGCAGGATGCACTGGTGGCACTCAGACAACAGCTGGATGATCTCAGRGCTCTAAAGCATGAACTGTCTTTCAAGCTGCAGGTAGGGAACTAAGGAAATCCAAGGAATTACAGAGAGAAGTGAGAACTGCTGTGCATTTATTCTTCCTGCCTGTTGGAAAGGTGCTGGGTGTGGAAGGGTCACMGGCTGTGCAGCACACTTGTCCTGCTGTGAGGACACTGGAATGGGGTGGAGGTTCAAGGAAAATGCAATTTCTTCCGAAGAAAAATTTATCATGGTCCAGAAATGTGTGTGAGACAGTGGAAAGCATCTTGTGTGGTTTTRTGTGTAAAAAGAGGCGTGGGAGCTTCTGTTCCAGCACAGTCTAATACAGAGGGCACCTGGTTTAATTCGTGTGCAGTGGCACAAGCAGACTCTCCAAACAGCAACACAATGCTCAGAATAGATCCTAAAATCAAATTTACAAGTGCAAATAGTTGCTTTTGCTCTCCTTGAGCCACTGGCTTTGTTCAAAACAGCTGAACAACACTAAGATGTTGACTCTTAGCAGGCAGTGCATTATGCATTTTCCATATGCAGGAAGCTTCACCGATGGTGGCGTTGCTCTGTTGCAGGGTCCTGTTGGACCCTGCACCTCTACAGCCCAACATTTATCCTTGCAATACTGACCTGGCATTTGCTTTTTAGCACCTTTTCCTGCCTCTTTGCCTTCTGCCCATTGTTTCATGTGCCAGATGATTTATGGAGGTTTATTTGGAATTTACTGCTCCTTACACAAACCCCCACTGCTCTTTTTCCCAGAGTTCAGACATGGGWGTGAAACAGAAGAGTGAATTAAACAGCCGCTTGGAAGAAAAAACAAATCAGATGGCTGCCACCATCAAACAGCTGGAACAAAGGTAAGACTGCAAAAGCCATCAGGAAACCTGAACCATGATCCTTTACTGTAGTGTCCCACAGATCCAGAATGGGCCAGGGGAGGAGAGCAGTGGGAGCAGCAAATGTGGGACTTGGTTAATGAACAGGGCATTGAACTCTATTGGTGCTCTCGTTTTAGAGTTTCTCTTGGGAAAAGTGCTTGATAAACAAGGTGATTATCTTTGTAACAAATTTGTGTTTGAAATGTTTCATGATACCTATTTAGCTAATTCATGTTCTTTTTCTCTTGCTGTTCTTATGTTTTCCGTTTTCTCATCATCCTCATTCTAACTTATTTAAACAGTGAAAAGGATTTGGTGAAACAGGCAAAAACCTTAAATAGTGCAGCAAACAAACTGATCCAGAAGCATCATTAGACATTTTTATGTCTGGCCACCTCACAGCTCTGACATCAGAACTCATTTATGAGGGGAGAACTTGAGAATTGCTAAAAGCAACTGTTAAAATGTTAATTGTCACCTAAAGTTGATTTGGAATTTACCGAGTTTTTAAAATCAGTGAGTTTTTCTGCCGAGATTTAGTCGGGTATAAAAATCCCCAGCCCTGCCATTTAAACCGTGTTCCAGTACCAACGAGTTGGCCACTGAGCAGCCCGGGAAAGCATCAGGAGTGGGCGAGGTGGCGGTGTCACAGCAGCACAGCCCTCGGCRCGTGCGCGGCTCAGCCGGGACCGTGGCCAGCTCGGGACAGTCAGCTCCTTTTCTGTATTGCCCTTTTTGTGAAGTAGATGAGAAATGCATCCCTGGAAGTCGTTGACAGTAGTTGTGTGCGTACCCCAAGCCGTTCCCTGTTCACCTCTGTTCTGTGGGTTCAGCCCCGAGTCGGAGCCGAGCGGGCGCCASGCTGGCCCATCACCGGGGAGACCGGCCCTCCCGTAACCAGCCTGCCTGGATTCTGCCTTAGGGACTTGTGGGGAGGGTGGGAACTTATCCTTATTCCTTTAAACTTCATGTGTCCAGAATTAGTAGCTATAGGTGTCTTAGAGTAACACGATAGAGTGGTAAGTTCATTGGAAACCTCCTTCTCTTTGCATTGCTTCTACCTCTGCCAGGAGTCCCTCCAGACATACCCTGTGGTCCTTCCTGACCAAGGAAGCAGAGGAGAGGTGTTTTGGGAGGTCTCTCCCCTTCCTAGAAAAGGAAATTACCCTTCATAAAGGGTTTTATGAGAAATAATCTGATCTTCGTTTAAAGGAAACAAAAACACATTTTAAAAAGTGTGTTTTTAAACACGCTGCAGTGTGCAGCAGTGGGGAGTGGAGATGCTAATTTGGTCCTTGCCCTTTTCTTGTCTGAGTAGTTGGTGGTTGAAGAGTTGCCTTTTACACTTCTTTCATTTTCTTCTGAGTTTACCTTGCTCAATACAAATGGAATTTGCTAATGGAACAAGAGCTGAAGCTTGGAAACTGCTCTCAATACAAAAAAGATTGCCAGTTCAACATCCTGGTACAAAATCTGAAGTAACTGTAGCTTGAACTATTATAAACTAACATTGTCTGCTCACAGAAGTCCCTGTGCTGGCCTCTCACAGCTCTAGGTTACAAGGGCTTCTCGAGATAATTTTTTTCATTTGGAAGATCAGATTTGGGGAGTTTCTGTGTGGAATAGGTGRTTTTTTTGCTCTGGTGAGACGCCTGTAGTAATTCTTTGGTGCCAGTTCTCCCTTTGACCTATGGGAYGGTGCTCCCTGGTGACAAACACCGGAGGGAACACCTTGGCGTGTTTAAAGATCCACGGGGCTCAGCCTGCTCCCCTGGATGTGAGCGTGGGCCACTGTGGGGCTTTGTTCCCTGGGCTCCCAGCACAGCCCTGCTGGGAACCTCCCCGCCATGCCCGAGCCGCATGCTTGAACCTAGAAACACCCCTCAGTAACCTGCTACTAGAAACTCATCCTAACTCCCTGGAGAAAAAATAATCCTAAGGAAAAGGTGGAAGCTTTGATCAAGGTGTCTGAATAGCTGGTTAGGACAGGGACTCTCCTGCCCCTTTGCACAGTTCTGCTGTAGGAACAGGAGGTTGGATGGTGATGTTTGTGCTGAAATCAGACAGATTTAAGGATCTGGCTGCTTCTGATGTCAGGCCCCGAGTGGGAATGTGTTGGTGTACTGATGCCTGGGGCTTGAGCCCAAGTGTCCATCCATGGGAGAGACCAGGAACATGCACTAATTCTCAATAGAGTAGYTACAACCTATGTTGCAAGTTCCAGTTACCTGTGCAAAGCTGAAACGTAACGTACATTAAACTCCAATTGGACTTAAAATTCTGTGTACTTGAGGTTTGCTTCGAATCTGGATAAAAGTGATGTTTTCTGTTTCTCATCTAATGGCTGTAACCTGTAGTGATAGAATAAAAACTATTGAAAATGAGAGCTTCTGCCTGGTTCACCTACATTTTGCTTTGCTTTGAACTATTTTCCTCCTTTCCATTGTTTTTACCATTCTCTTTTTTTGGCTTTACCTTTTCACTGGGTTTTTTATTTGTTGGTTAAACTCGGTCTTCCTCCCCACCATGGCTTTTGTTTTTTATCACAAGTTCATGTGGCTCAAATCCAGATTGCGACAGGCAGAGAAGGACCGGCAGCTGGCCCAGCAGGACAACCGGCTCTTCAAGCAGGAGTTTGGGGACAAAATCAACAGCCTGCAGCTGGAAGTGGAAGAGCTCTCCAGGCAGCGGTGAAGAGACCCTTTTCCAACCTCTTTTCTGTGTCTAGGGGAGAACAGGCGGGGTGATGGCATAGGGAAGCAGGGGATGGACAGGGCGTGAAGCAAATCGTGTGTTAGACACCACAAGGTGGAACTCCAGGSAGGGAAATCCTTGGTAACAGCATCACTTGGACACTGACACGGGCTGCCTGGAACAGCTGTGGATGCCCCATCCCTGGAAGTGTTCAGAGCCAGGCTGGACAGGGCTTGGAGCAGCCTGATCCAGCAGAAGGTGTTCCTGCCCATGGCACCGGCTGGAACGAGGTGGTCTGTAAGGTCTTTTCCAACTCAAACTCTGTGAGTCTGGCATAATTGGGAGTCCAAAGCTAACACCACTACCATTTGCTGCTCCTGGGCAGGGATTGAGCAGCCAAGTCTCTGTCTGGAGCAAACACTGAAGGATCTGGACCAATGGCAGTGATTTTGGTTGTCTGCCTGCCACACAGTACTGTGATGTGGATTTTTTTTCCATTGAAACTGCTCTTAGTTTTGCTGGAAGCCAAAGAGAGACCTTGTCAAAAGTCATCACATTTTCCCCTKCTCATGACTTCAGCAGTGTCAGGGATGCAGACAAATTTCTTTTCTTAAAATAGAAGAGCATTTCCTGCAGCCTTGTTGCAAGGTCACTGGGATGAATTCTGTGGGAGCATTGCTGGATGCACGGAGGTTTTTTGTCCTCTCTTCCCCTCCTCGCCCAGCTTTTTGTTTCCATTTTCAAAAAGCTGCTCAGACAACCAGCAAATGGCTTTGGTCAGCAATAGGTGCAAGGTCCTGGGTGTGCATGGGTGAGCTTAGGAGGACATGGCCACATAGGTCTGGTTTTGCATCAGTTGGGTGCTAAATTGTGCCAGAATTAGATGAAGGACTTGTAGATATTTCATCCTGACATACTATGGCTTAGCACACTGTGAGACAGCTCTGGGTTCCAGGAGGCAGTTCTCACTCTTKACTTAGGGGTGTGAAGAGAGGGTCAAACAGTTCATCGGCTGTCATTGCCAAGTGTCCCCAAACCATCCTTTATTCACAATTCCACCTGGTATTCCAGGAGCCACCTGGAACTGGAACTAAGGCGGGAAAGAGACAGATGGTCTCACAGTCACCAGCACAGCCAAGAAAGCAAAAAAGGCCCAAAGAATTGGCTCAGACAGGTAATGTGACTTTGGTTTTTGGCTCGGGTTTGAGGTACAGTTTCACTTGGCTCATTTGATTTTCSGGAGCTTTCTCGGGCAATAAATGGTTGTTGTTCATGTGCCACAACCAGAGGAGCTTTGGGAAGATTTTTACACWCTCTGAACAGGCAGTTTGCATTGTAACAATGAGAACTGCAGTAACAGAGATGGCTTTTGCAGTTCTCTGCTTCTCCCTTGCCTGCTTGAAYGATGCAGTTTTGTCTTTTTGTCTTTGACCAATGTTACACAATTTCAGTGAAGTGCTCAAGCTGGGACCCACATCTCAGCTGGGGAGAAGGGGAGGATTCTTTTCTTTGCTGGCTGGGGAAGTTGTCTCTGGTCAACTTTTACAAAACCTCTTCAGCCCATCCTCATTCTCAACCCCTGCTCTGCAAATAATAGCTGATGATGTGGTGTTTCTGGTACCAGGAGGTCAGGGACCCCTGCCCATCCCGGAGAGGCACAGTCCCCTCTGTTCACAGCAGGAGGAAAGCACCAAGAGCTGCTCCCAGAGGAGATGCCAAGGAGAGGCAGAGCAGCATCCCAGAATAGCTCCAAGTCTCCACATGCAGTGTGGCAGGAGTGAAACTGGAGTTTCTTCAGTGCAACTGATGGGTTAGTGTTTCCTTTTGGCAGGATGGGAAGCTCAAAATCCACGAAGAAAATGCTAAACTGAAGCAGCCASTGAGAGAGAACAGTGTCCTGCCACACAGGTAGGGAAGGATGCAAATCTCATTCTGCCTCTCCTTTCTAAAGTCCTGCTTTCCCTTCTCCAACTTCTGTGCCAACAAGGAGTTTAGAATAGTTCAACTTCCCTTTTTAAGAAAGATTTCCAACCTCATGTCCTTTGTTGAGTTTGCTGCTCYTTTTCCTTAGCTCTCAAAGGGAAAGATGAAGTTCTGTTGTTTGCCATCAGTTCTTCCAGATGGGAAAAGCTCTGTGTCTCTCCCATTTACCTTGGAAATTTTTTCTGTCTAAATCTGCTGTTTMCTAACTTTTCTGACTGAAGAATCCCTGGTGAGCAAAATGCAAGTCCTTTGGAGCTCATGTCCAAAGTATCTTCGGTGAGGGAAAGCAGGAAGGGTATTTGCACCTCTTAAAGAGAAGCTGCTGGGGAAAGAGAACTTGAAGTGAGATTTTAAAATTATGGCTGTGTAAAATTGTGGTTCAGGTCACTTGTTTCCAAACTGAATTATTACAGAGGAGGATTCTTGTTGCAGGATTTTAGTATTTGGTTGTAGAAGTTAAAAGGTGTTTTCAAAGCCCCTGGGCACAGTGCAGTGCTGAGGCTTTGGCTTGGGGATGGGACAGCCTATTGGAAGTGCTCTGACTGTCAGGGCTTTGCTGCAGTGTCTCAAGTGCCAATGGGAASTTAATCAGGAATGTATCCTCTTAAAAATAGCATCAAGCAGTTCAAATCTGCTTTGCCAGATGCTAAAAACCTTCCTGGCCTGAGATGCTTTTTACCCTCATTTCACATGGAGTGTTTAAGCAAGTGAGGGTCAGGCTGATGGTGTCAAGGCCTTGTGGTGCTTCACTGCTGCCTCTCACAGCAGGTGTAGGGATCAGACCTGCAGGGCTGCGTTTAAGGCCAGTTTCAAACTGTTGTGCTGTAGCACCTAAACAGGCTTTTCTGTGTTTATGCTCCCTCTCCCCTGCTCTCCTGAAGGCATATCACTATTTTTACTTCTGCTCTTGCCATTGAACCAGGAGTGCTACTCAAAATTCTTTATGGGGGAGGGTTTTTAAAACAGGATGAGGGAATTCCCTGATAGCCCAGATGTTTTATTTAAAGGCTGTGGTGATGCAAGGCATAGTCCAAGTGATGCTGTTGTTCCCTTGTAGGTCACCCAGCRGCGTGCAGGAAGAGCAGGTGGGTGATTCTCCTTGTTGGTTGTTCTCTTTTCTGTAAATCAGCTGGACCAAAATCCACTCCTCCATGTGCCTGGCAAAGCACAGCCAGACCCCCAGAGTGTCACTGGGATGCCTTGTGCTGTCTCGTCCACTCGCAATTTCTGCTTCTGTCAGCTCATTCCCAGTGAAAATGGTGTTTAGTTCCCCTCTTGCTGCTGCAGAGCTCTGCCACGGGAGCCATGTAAAGCAGTGTCTTGGTTTTGTTTTGGGCTTTAGGAGCAGCTGGCAGGCCCTGGACATGCTGAGATCTGCCAGCTCTGCCAGGAGGAGAACAGCCGGAGCCAAAGAAAGGTAACTCCTGGACTTGTGTTGGCATCTGCCACACCTGGTGACTGTGAGTTCCCTCTGGTTTTGGTTATGGAATCACAGATTCCTGCTGGTAACTTGTACCAAGACATGAGCCCTTGCAGGCCCCTCTGCCCTTAACATAACTTTGTTAAATGCTGCCCTGCTCTGCCCTGTTCAGTGTTTTCCTTCCCCTTAGCAGCTTCTTCCCATTATTAGCTCAGTCTGTGTTTTCACAGTTGGTCTGCCAAGACCTGAACCTCTCCTTGATTCCTCTGTTCATTTCCTGCATTCCAGAACATCTGCAAGAACTGTGGGGGCACCTTCTGTGAAGCGTGCTCGGTGCACGAGCTGCCCCTCCCGTCCAGCATCAACCCCGAGCGTGTCTGCAACCCGTGCCACCAGCGGCTCATCCAGCAGTATTCCAGCAGCCCCGTGTAGAGAACAGCTGGCAGAGGTGACAAACAACGGTTGGAGCTGCGTTTATGGAGTTGTTCAGGGGGAATGTGAAGACACTTGCCCATGTGCTTTAGAGGTCAGATGGGAAGCAAGCTTCTTGGTGTTTAGAGTCTCCTGTTACTAAAACAGCAGTCTGAGCCCTTCCCTGTACCAAAATCCACCTGTGCTGTGGAGATTGCATTGGGAATGTCACGGAGCAGCCCAGGGTGTGCCTGAGCAGTGTCAGGACTCTGGGAGCCCCTGCCCAAGCCAGAGCTGTTGTGTGCGTAAGTTGGGAATGTTCTCACCCTCATCCATGTGGCATGGGTGTGTGCTGCTGCTGCTGCTGCTGAGCAAAGGCTCCCCAAAACCCAGCAGGGGCATTGGTATTCCTCAGTCTGGCTGCACTTGAAATCCCATTTCCCCTTTTCCGGCTGCCCTGGACAGGCTGGCTCATCCTGGGAACCCTGGTGGATGGTGTGAGCAGGGCAGGCAGGACACCAGTGAACACATCCTACCTGTGTTTTCTTGGCTCCCAGCTCTGGCCAGGGGCTCCATCTGCACAGGGGTACCCCAAACAAGCTGTGAATGTTCTGATCCCCCTCTGTGCTTTAGGGGCTGGGCCCAGTCCCCATCCCAGACACAGGTTTAGGGCCACTCAGACCCACCTCTCCACCTTGCACACATGGAAATGTTGTTACAATAAACCTGGCATTTCACTTTTTGTTGGATCAAAACTAAATGGGAACACTTTTCACCTACTAGAAATTTTAATTGCACATACGGTTCAGAGAGGTTTCATGGTTTGTRCCACATCATTCTTTGTTACTGTTCACTCAAGGAATTTTGTTAGTCCAAAAAGTGGTGGCTTTCTCGTGTCACGGTAGTGTTTGCTTCTTTTCCTACTGGCCCTTCCTGCAGTCCTTGAGACCACAGAATGCCCTGTAGTTCATAGAAAGYGGATGCACTGGTGTGAAATGCACTGGGGTTTGTACATATGTTGTTGGGGGCAGTGGTTAATTCCTTGGAGGGGATTTTCTAGTCATTGGATTGGCTGGAAGCGCATGAAAAAGCCTCTTGGAGCTGAGGTACTGACATGGTTGGTGCTGGTTTGTACCAYGAGTCATCTCTCCTAGATCCTTCTAGGATCTGAACTTGCATGTTCAGCCACCCAATCCCTACTCTGCTCTTTGCTCCCAGAGTACCTTCCTGCCCCATCTCCTTGCTGCTATGCTGTAAAGTATGGCAGGAGTTGTAAACATTGAAATACTGAAAGCCTGGACTTTAGGTGAATTCCTGAGTTTTCTGAAGGGGTGGGACACTGGAGATGGATGCACAAAACACTCAAATTTAGTGTCAGTAGTTCTGAATACGTACTGTACATATCCAACAGTGAATTCCTGCACCCAACTCCAGTGTGACTCATCCCTCCAGATGAAAGTAAGAGCCAGGCAAAGCAGAGGGAGGATTAAACTGGACATGGAGGATTAAACTCCTTGGAGCAGGGAGGTGGCTGAGCCCCCTTCAGAGCAGAGCCTTGGTGGCTGCCATTGGACTGGCATTTTGGAAGCAGGACGGTGCTGGCTGCCACTTTGTGTCATGCCAGTGTGGGCTGACACCTGGACCTTGCGAATAGGGGAGCAGGTTTTCTGATGTTTTGTTCCACATAAGGTTTTCTGATGTTAATTTTCTTCCACACAATTAAAAAACTTGATCATCTATATCCTGCCTCCTGAGTGGTCTTTCCATTCCATTCCCCTTGGGCTAGAGATGTGAAAGGATTCCGAGGTAGAACGTGCACGTGAGGGAGGATTTGGATCACTCAGCTGTTGATTGGCAATCCTGGTGTTTTATTAATGCACCCTGATGCAACTGGAGCCCAGGACTGCTCCACCATGCAGYCTTGGCCATTCCCACTGCAGCCACTCCTGGTGCAACTTCCCCACAGCCCATCACATTATTACAAGCTCTTACACAAGGCTCAACTAATCTTAGCTTGTCCTCGTCGCTGAGTGGTGACACTTGGACCTGATCTTCACGCTCACACCCACGGAATGTGTTTGCTTGGCCTAAAAACAAGGAAGAGGAAAAATAAAAATCACTCCCTCACTGTGGCTTACTGCTCTCCTTTTTTGCCCAATGCTTAGTAACAGCTTGGCTCTAGTGAAATACTGCAGATCCTGGGTGCAAAATGTTCAGGTGGGGCTGCAGCACAGGCACACAGGGTGATGGTGTTTAATTCCCACAGCACAGGCACCAATGTGAGAGAGGTGCCAAGGAAGTGTGGGATGCAGGTGAGATGTGGGAGTGCACATCCTGAACCTGCCCCAAGGACTTCTCCCTGGCCTGGATTACTGACCCAGGATGGGTGGGCTGCCCTCCCTGCTGCTGGGGGCCAGGGCCTGGGGAGCAGTGACCACCAGCCCCACTTTCTGAAGGGAATTCATGGAACAAGCTGTCCACCATCTTCCACGGGGACAAGAAACCTACCACATCCAAAATACTGATTAATATTAAGCCAGATCTATGGGAAATGTTTAGCCATGTTTCATCTCCTTGCCAGAGAATATAACCCCATCAGAGCTTTTCATGCTGCTTCTGCACTGCGGGACTGGCACTTGTGGAATCTGGAGGTGCAGGCTGTGGGATCCAGGCTGGACACCTGGTGTCAGGCTGGGGGTGGTCCCCTTCAGCCCCTCTCTGTTTTACCCTCTGGGCTGGTTGGAATACCAGGCATTGTGAGCCTGRGGCACACGTTGCTACAAGCAAAGCAGGAAGGACAGAGATGGTTGTGCTTACCAAGCCTGCACCCGTGCCACTGTCACTAGCAGTTCTCCTTTCTCTTTGGATGTTCGTTCAGGAACAGCTCAATGGCACAGCACTCTGGGGAAGGTAAGAGAGGTGRGCTGAGGTCGGGCACTTGCATGTGTTACATTGGACTTTTTTTTTTTTTCTCTCCAAAGCCCATGGCTCACTGCAATTTGGAAAGCTAAAGTGATTCCTCTGCGCAGGATGTTAACAGCAGCAGGGGATGAGCTGTGTCAAACCACCTGAGGTCTCAGTCCTGGGGATCCCCTCTCTTTTTCTCACTTACCCATCTGTGACCCCTCCTTGGCCATCGCTGTGACTGCATCYTCGTGGCTCTGGAAATGCACATGTGCCTCTCCTGTGGCATCTCCATGGGAGTTATATTCCACCAAGATCCTTGTGGGCCTCAGTGGAGCAAAAAACTGAAAAAGAGGAAAGTAAGAGTTTGGTGAGAAAGGAACAACAGCAATGCACCCTATTCCCCAGAAACTCAGTGGTTTTACTCCCCAAACCCGGAGGTCTGAGCTCCCGAGAGCAAAAGGCTCCCTGATCCATCTGGGTGAAGCTGAGGCACTCTCAGTCACCTGTTCCACCCACCGTGAGCTCCTGGCATAGTAACTCCAGCCAGGAACAAAAACCCTCACACAGCACCCATGTTCTGTACATGTCAGTGCAGGTACAGTGTTAATGTACACCATTAACATTTCTGTGCAGTCAGCTACTCTGAAATGTTGCTTTAGATTCTCAATGGCTCCTCAAGCCAAGTGAGGGATATTTAAACAACCCAGCAAGGCTTAATTCCTTCTTGTTCATGGAGAGGAGTAGATGCCAGTTGTGCCCCCGAGGCCACAGCTGTCCAAAGCCACAAAGCACTGAGGACTAATGGACACAAACCAATTAAAAGTCTGCAACTGCTTCCGCTGTAACAATTAACTGAGGGTTTGCACTGGTAATGACAGCACCACATTTCATCCGTAGCCTCACTGTTACTCACATTTATTATATCCTGGGCACTAGCTTGGGAAGGAAAGCCCCTCATGTGCACAAAGTACTGTGGTGGTGATGAGGTGGTCTCAGACTCTGAAACGTTCCTGGAGTTTTCTGTTCCTTCCCTGCACAGTTCTGTGGAAGGAAGGGAAAAACCATCACTAGTGCTTGCAGTGCCCCTCTCCATCTTGTGACAGCTGTGACATGAGGGGACCTTGAGGAACRCTCATGACAGGGCTCATGACTCACTAAGTTCTCCTTTGACGTTGGAGCCTCCAGTCTCTCTCCAGCCCCTTTCTTCGGAGATGGATTCATACTCTCGTCTCCCTCTGGAGTAGGCCACTGCCTGACTGCTGTAAGGCATGTGCCTTTGCATCTGGTGCTTTCTGCTCACGTACACTTCTATATACCTGCARTCCAAAGGGAAAGAGCACATGGCACTCAGCACTTGGAGAAAGCACCTTCCAGATGTGTCCTGCCTTGGCTCTCCTCAGGTACCGGGGGTGAGAACCCTGCCATTACCCAAAAAGGTATTTAATAATTAATKCATTTCACTGAGGTTCTTTTCCCTTCACTGCACTTCTGCTAACAGCACCGATTTCTACAAACCCCAAATGAAACACCCTACCCAGCCCCAGAATAGGCAAAACCAGAAGAGGCACAGGGTCACARGAAATACTTCACTGGAGCCCCAGGATTTTCCATATGGCTGTGAAATTGATGGGACACCACCAGTGTTAAATCAGGCAATTTCCAGAGCACTGAAGGAACAGTGTGATGAAAGGAAATATGGACATCCAAGAGAGGGGGCCTTCCTCCCTTCCTGAAGTAAGGGAATTAACCTTGTGTGGAGGCTGACAGCTGATTGCTCAGCTCCTGCATCCCAACTCCACACTGGGCACTGCTGGAGGCCCGTTCTGGATAAAACCAGGAAGAATGAATGGGAACAAGCTGAYAGCAGTTTTGGAAACCCCTTCATTTCTTGGCTAATCACATGGAAATGGAGGTGTGTGCTCAGGTGRGTCAGGCCAGCTCTTGTTTTATCATGACAAAAGAAAAGTAACAGTAGCTTTGGGATTAATCTCTTAGTCTCTTACTCCCTCCTTATTAGTARGGGAGTCTGATAAATTTGACTAATTAAATTTGGCCTATGGAACAGCTGTTTGCTTTTAGCATGAGTGGGGAGGGCATCAAACACAATGAAATGCAACATGGGAACAGGAAGTGAGGAAACAGGAAGGAAGGTGGTGTGCAGGAGGAGAGGTAAGGTTTGGAGACATTTTTTATTATGTGTGGTGCAGAGTAAGTTTTATAGATTATTGAAGTCAGAAAATTCAGCAGGAAAAGCTGTCTTGGTGGTTTGGATTTTCTTTTCTGACCACAGCTGTGGAGGTATTTAAAAGCTGTGTATATGTAGTGCTTAGGGACAGGGTTTAGGGGTGGCCTGAGCAGTGTTTAGGTTAATGGGTGGACACAATGATCTTGAAGGCCTTTTTCAACCTAAATGATATGATTGTGGGAAAAAGTGGTCTGTGCTTGTTTGGCAGGACCACACGTCTCAAGGACATACAGATGCACTGAGGCTTGGGCAGACCCTGTCTATCCATTGTTCCCCACTGTGAAGGCTGAGATGAGAATGTCTTCAGGAACGCCTAAAGACAAGGAGACTTTCTGAGAGCCCCCAAATTCTCCCAAACTATGAGCATTGCAGGTACCCCCTGCCCTCCAGTGTGAGATGAGCTGTGGCACCTGGCAGGAAGCTCCACATCACACAGGTGCTCCATACAGTGCTCTCCTACCCCTGAACTCCAGGCAAGTACCTACCTATTTCCCATATATTCCTTGTGCCGTAACAGGGCTTTAGCCGCCATTTCAGGAGCCGCAAACTGCACGAAAGCCTCTCCCGTTCTTCTGCTTCCCCGGTAAATGAAAGCTATGTCTGTGATTTTCAAACCTAGAGAAGGCAGGGGAGAAAAAGGCACTGACTGTGGCAGGAACTTGCACTACAGCTCACAAAGTTTTTGTTTGTTTCTTCCCTTATTCTTCTGGGTTTTGACAAGCTAATTGGGCAGCTAAATAGTTCTGAAACAACTGCTCATGCTGGCCTAAGTAACTTTTTCAAACTCCCAATTTGTTTGCTTTAATGTAGTTTTCACAGAAGCCTTACTTAAAAAAGGAATCAGCTTGAGACTTCAGGTAAGTGAATTCAAGTTCCAGACAACAAGCAGACAAGCAGATGCAGAGCACCAACCTTCTTGAAATTTTCTATTATGGTAGTTTTTGTTCTGTATTTTTAAAAATCGAGTCAGATTCAATGAATTTCATGTTTTGTGCTGTAGAATTTCATCTTGGGGAGCCAGGACTTGGACTGCTCCAGCACAGAGCATGGGACAAGGATCCAAGTGGCGTATGTGACCTACCCATGTTGATGTCACAGCTGGGAACACCCATGCTGCATTCACCTGGGCTGTAAGTATCCCACAAGCCTTTTCCTTCTCAGGTTTGCCAAATTATGTATTGGGGGCAATTCACCTGCAGACCACAACATCTGGTCCCCTTTCTTTGTTTCCCCTGGCCCCCAATGGGTGTGTTATAAGTGCTGATATGGGGTTAGACCTGCATAAGGTCAGAGGTGCAGGAAAACTCTGCAGGGTGCTCAGAAAGTCTGAGTGACTTCTGGGGAACAGCAACTCCTTGTGGTGTTTCAGRTGTAAAATACTGCACGTGCTTTGCCTTGTCCCCAGAGGAACAGCATCAACTTAGGCAAGTGAATGCCTGGTAAAGGAAGAGAATGGCCCAGGCTGARTTACCTGCGAAGAAATCTTCAATGTCTTCCTCGGTGGCAGTGAAAGGAAGGCCTCGGAGCAGCACAACCCCTTCGTTCATGGCCTGTGACTCGTTCCGCAGGCAGCGCAGCAATTCGTCCACATCACCATCATGGATCTCAAAAACTGCAAGGAACACAGCCATGGAACGTTTTCCCACATGGCACTGGAAGGCAGCACTCTGCAGGCACTCTCCTAAGGCAGCGTTTGCCCCCTGCAAAGCTCCATCCCCTTTCTTCCCCCACCCCATGCTCTGTGGTGCTGCCCCTTTGCTTGCTCAGTTCCACCCCTTTGCCTCTCCACACCAGCCCACTTTATTAATCACCAAGTTATCATTCACTGAGGAGTTTTACTGCAATGTCATCACTTGTGCTGTTCCAAACCCACCTTTCACATAACGTGGGCCCATGTACCTCAGGTTCTTTTCCAGGGCTCTCTGGACATCTGCTTTGGACTCCAGCTCGATCAAAGCCTCCCCGCTGCGCCTCCCATCCCTGTTTAAGAGGAAGTGTATCCCGTTCTCACCGTTTCGAATTCTACAGCCTGCAAACCAAGGGACACACAACACAGGAACATACAGGACTGCATCAAACACAGGGATCTCTTTGGCCTGACCACAGTGCACATCCCCTCAGCACTACCGAACAGAAGGTGGAATACTTGCATTTCTAACATGAAGTCTAACTTCAAAMTGACTTGCTTTACAGTTTGGCAGGTTAGCAAGTAATTAAAAAACTTGCATCTGGCCTCTGGAAGGATGGAGCATCGTATGACAGTATGGAAGGATCAGCACTACAAAGGTATGTAAGCACTATCAATTAGGATCAGAAACCAATATTGCAATTTAACCAATAAAACCCTCCAGCTTCGTGACAAGAGAGGAGTTTGGGTTAGCCATAATGGTCTGTAAGAGCATCGCTTTGAATTACATAGCCTTTGCTGTGGAGAAACTRATTAAGAAGTGAAAAAYTTGTCCAGTTAAATTTAAGAGGCCATAAAGATGAGTGCCTAGTCAGTGTCCAGTAGTTCGGAGGTTGATTATTACCTTTATATGTGTTAATGTGAATAATTTTGCAGGAATAATAAAACCTCATCTTTCTCTASCTAACGATCTCTAAATTTTCTTTCCGTTAAATAGTCATGAACTAGTGGGTTCAATAGCAGCATGCAGAACGGTTAGTCAGGAAAATGAGCACCCGTACTATCAAAGAAGGTAAGGACATCTTCCTCGGTGCACGAGAATGGGAATCCTTGTGCCCTGACGAGGTACACGCTGTCGCTTTCCGCCTTGGCTGAGGCGGGCTCCTGCTCTGAGAGGCGACCTTCCCGGGACGGAGCATCTGTGACCTGTCASGGACACACAGGGTGAGAAGGAGGCAGCAGTTTGTCGCAGGGGTCGATGCCCGCCATTTTCGCGCGGCCGTACCTGGCTGTATGCGCGGAGCGCGGCGCGGAGCGGGAGCGGGGCCGGGAGCGGGGCCGGGAGCGGGGCCGGGAGCGGGGCGGGCCGGGGCAGGCGCAGCGCGGGCAGCAGCGCCGGGCCCCGGCCCAGCAGCAGCGCGGACACAGCGCGGCGGGCAGCGGCGGCCACGGCCATGCCGGGGATGGCGGCTCCGCCTCCGCGACCTTTCTTCCCGGCAGCCTCTGTGCGGGAAGCGCTTCCCGGGCACCGCCGTGCACTGCGGGAYGGGTGCCCGCCGCTCTGCCGGGGCGTGCCTGGGAGTCCCGGGAATGGGGCGGGCTTTCGCGGCTGTCACTGCTGCATCTTCCTATCACGGAGCTGTGTCCTAGAGGGGCCTGGCTTGGAACGGAACTTAAAGATGATCCCGTTCCACCCTCTGCYATGGGCAGGGACACCTTCCACTATCGCASGTTGGCCCAAGGACCGTCCAGCAGGGCTTTGCACACTTACAGGCACGGGACAACCACATGGGCAGACTGTACCAGGGCCTCACAGGGAACAACTTCTTCCCAATATCCCATCTAGCCCTGCCTTCTRTCAGTGTGAAGCCATTCCCCCTTACCCCRTCACTCCAGGCCCTTGTAAGTAGTCCCCATCTTTCTTGCAGGCTCCCTTCAGGCACTGAAAGGCCAGAATTGGGCCACCCTGAAGCTTTTMTTTTCCAGGCTGATCAAAATCCCAAATCTCCCAGCTTTTCCTCAGAGCAGAGGTGCTTCATCCCTCTGATAACCTTGGAGGCCTCCTCTGGACTTGCTCTGACAGGTTAACATGCTTCCAGTGCTGAGAACCCCAGAGCTGGAYGCAGCATTCCMTATGGGGTCTCACCTGAGCGGGGCAGAGSGRCAGAATCCCCCCTCCCCTGCTGCCCCCACTGCGGGGATCAGCCCAGGACACAGATGGTTTCTTGCAAGACAAGGTTTTAAGTTGGGCTTCATCACTGGCAAGCCTTTTAYACCCCTTCCCTGGAGATTTTCCAAGAGAGCTGTTTTTCTCCCCCTCACTCCAATCCCTGTTTGCAGGTCACAGAGGCAGCACTGGCTGAACCTGTTCAAACAAACAGGTGACAAACGGGTGACAAACAACATTCCCCTTCCAGGTGATCGGGGAACACAGTCCTGCTGTCACTGCTAGATCCAAGAGGGATAAGGGGGAAAGACCTGACACAAAGAGGATGTGCCGGGAACCCACAGTGAGGAAGATGGTGACAGCCATGACAGCTGAGGTATTCCTTTCTTTTCCAACAGCCTGCACTTGAAGGCTGGGGATCACCAAATAAGAGTTGCAATTTCAAGCCATTGCAAACTATCAAACCCAAAATACAATCTTGGGTTTTTCTGCACAAGTCTTTYATCTTACTGTGCTGCCAACACACTCGCTTATCAGAAGCCTTGAACATTTCTTATCACCATTTTAAAAATGTGAACAAGCTCCTTTATGTCACCCTCTTGTTGCTGGCTGGTGCTTTTGCAAACTACTGCTTGTAACAAACTTTCACATGACAGACTATAACCCTGAGAATAGCACAGCCCCTTGACAACAGCACTCTTGACCCTTCTGAATTTTCAAGGTAAACCGTGTATTATGCACATTTTCAAAGGAATGTTGACCTCAGTGCTCAAGTGGTTCACATTCCATATTTTCATAGTCAACTTGCCAGATATCTCTTCAAAACCTTTAAATAAGCAAGCAAATGTTATAGAAGAAAAAAAAAATCAAGAGAACTGTGGGAATTCATCTTGAGCACTTATCTGTATCTAGATTGGCTTTTGTGCTTTCAGTTTAATTGAATAAGCAGATGCCTAAATCTTAGGGACCAAGGGAATGTTAGGTGCATTCTTCCCTTGTGACCAAGCAGGGTGCAAGGAAGGGATGCACATCTTCCATCCATTTTTCCTTAGATTTGCTTGTTTCCCAAGAAACAGGAAAAAACACCCACTGCTGCTTGTCTGGCAGCTTGTCAGGTTTGTGAGACTTACCTTTAGAGGGCAGCATGTTGTTGGGCAACTCTTGGTAGTGAAGTTTCCATGGAATCTCAGAGCTTCCTTAGTTACATGACGGATCAAAGCCTCTGCATCTACGGTAGAATATGAGGGTCACCCTAGGACAAGAAAATTTGCATTTATGCACTCAACAGAACTGCTGTTGAATGAAGTCTGCCTAAGAGAGGGAATGTGCCTTTGTAAAAATAGAAAATCCCAGGAGATGCCTCCATACTGCTGTGGACCAAGAATTTATCTRTCTTGGAAAATTTTATCTACCTGGGAGGATGCCTTTTTCATTAATAATGTTACACAGGTTGTTGTTGAGAATAATCAATATCAGCTATTATGTTGTCTAATCAGACTGAAAATTATGATCAGAAAATCATGAGATATGATACCAAAACAAGTGCTTATCTCGTATTGGGAAACATTMCTTATCCCTCTGTGCTGTCAAGAAAAATTGACCTTCTGTTCTGTTGTGGTATTTTGCAACATTATTTATATGCAGTGTTCTTTTTCAAAACAAATTGTTGTTTCCCTTTTTGTATTCCCGATCCTATACACACATTAAGTACTGCCATCTCAGTTTTTATGCTGCTCTCAGCTGGAATGTTCCGTGTTTACCGAGCTGTGCTGAAAAGCTGAGAAGTTCAGTTCAGGACCGCAGCACTGTGTCAGCTGGAGGGCTCTTCCAGAGGAATTCTTTAGGCTCTGCAGTGCGCAGGATAAACGGAGATGACAGAGGCGAGGCAGGAGCGCGGGCTGTGCTCCCCCGGAGCAGCGGAGCGGGTCTGTCCTTACATAAGGCTGCAGTCCCCGCCAGCCCCTCGGCTGAGACAGCCCTTCATGTGACCCTCAGCATCCCAAACAGCCCCGCATWCATGGAGACAGAAAACCTGCACCTTACATAAGCGTCTCTCCTGGCCAAGCACTTCCTACTGCAGTAACCAACGTTTAATTTTAACTTGCCGCTAAAATAAAACGTTCTGTGGGTAGAAGGAAGTGTATGGGTGGGAACAGGGAACSGAGGTTATTCGTGTCCCAACAGGAATGTGCCAGAAAGATCAGTGATGTATTTTTGTTTGATTTATGGGGCTAACTCAGTCTGACAGCATCTGTTACAAAGTGCCCCAAGACCCATTCCAGCACTTTGGCTAAACAGCCAAAAGGAGCATTGCAAACGTAGAGAAACGCTTTTTAATTATACCTTTGATGCCCAGTAAAACACTGGATTTTAAAGGTGTCCTAAAAACAGTGATGTAATTTTAATTTACTTAGAAATGCACTGACCTGGCATTTTGACTTGGTCTGAAGGACAGAGAGACAAAGTGGAAAATGCAGTTTCAGCATTTAAAAATGTGAGGGAAGCAGCTGACTGTCAGTGCGGCCACCTGAGGTGTTATAGCTGAAACCCCTGACGTGCTCTACGGAAACTCGGTGTTTTGTGGGACTGTAGCCTGTTTTGATGTGCTGAATTTGCCTGATAAATCTGAAAGTCATCAGGTTTTCCTCTGCCCTACCTGCAGCAGTGTGAGGTTTTTGGGGATTGCTGAATCCCCTTCCAGCAGAAGAGAATTCCTGGGGGTCGTGCTGCCTCTCCTGTGCCCTCTCCACAGTATCTTCTTACTGACTTAAACAAAGCCAGATTTTCCTGTGAAAATTATACCCTGGGACTGCAATTTCTGCCGTAAAAAGCACTGGGGTGTGACTATACCTGCCTGCCAAGGGTTTTTTAGAAAAACTGCAGGATTTTTACCTCAGAAATTCAGTATTTTTACCTCAGCTGCCCACAGTGTAACCTGAGGGGTGCCCCTCCTTTGCTGACCGCTTGCCCTCACCAGCCCAGTTAGAAATTGCTCACAAATCAAATATTAAGGAATATTCGAATTCATTAAGAAAATTAGAATGACATTTGATGAGGAGGGCAGAAACGCCGGTTAATGCCTGTTTTTCAGGTGGTGGCGGTGGTGACTGTGGGCTGGTACCTGGGCGCTTTGTCCTGAGGGCTGAGCGGGACGCTGAGGGGACAGTGGGTGCCCGTGTCCATGGAGGTGTCTGTGCGCACTCACACGGGCACTCTGAGGCCGGATGGCGGTGAGGGGAGGGACAGTGTTGGAGCCCCGCAGCTGTGAGGGAGGGAGGGAGGGAGGGAGGCGGGCGGCGCGGGGGCCGCTGGGGGCGATGGCGGCCGGGCGAGCCGTGTCCCCGCCCCGCGGCGCTCTCCCCGCACCCGCCCGCCCTCCGCCGCCGCCGCTGCTGCCGCTGGGAGTGGAGCCGAGCCGCGCCGAGCCCAGGCAGCCGCCGGTCCCGCTCCGCCGCCATCGCCATGAGCTTCTTGTTGTGAGTACCCGCCGAGTGTGGGGGGTCCTTTCCTGTCGCCGTGCGCCGCCCCGGGCAGCCGAGCCCGCTGAGGGGACGCGGCAGCCCCGCCGCTCCCCGCCGGCCTGGCGCCCGCTCCGGCCGCTCGCCGCTGTCTCCCTTTGTGCCCCGCTCGCTCCCCGGCGGCCCGGGAGCAGCCGCCCCGCTCGGCCGGCAGAGAGCACCGGGGCCGCCGTTGAGCCGTGAGGGCGTTTGGAGGGCGGGCGAGCCGGGCTTCCCCTCCCCGCACGGCTTCCCCTTCCCGCACGGCTTCCCCTTCCCGCACGGCTTCCCCTTCCCGCACGGCTTCCCCTTCCCGCACGGCTTCCCCTCCCGGACAGAGTTTGGAAACAGGCACGGATCATCAGCCCGGTGGAGCTCCCCGGTGAGCGCCGAGCTGCCCGGCCAAGGGGTGTCGCTGGGCGGGCGAGAGCGGGGTCAGGGGCACACACCCACCCCAGGGGAGATTTTATGATATTTTCGTGCGGATCTCATTTCTAGCGGGCAGAGGTTGGTGTGCCCTATGTGAATTTGGAGCTGTTGTGTGGCAGTGAATCCCCTGCAGGTGAGCGGGCAGGTGGGGCTCCCCTGGCTGAGCCCCGCGGAGAACCAGGGCTTTACTGCGGCAGCAGGAGCTCCCTCGGGGATCGGTGGCGGTTCAGAACCCCACTTCGGGAAATTCTGCTTCGTGGACAAGAACCGAATGAACTTTGGTCCCTCCCCTTGGAAACAAAGACGAGGTACTTGTGACAATTAACATAAACCGGTTCAGTGACCTATTAATTAAGGCGAAGATGCGCTCTAGGGAAAGAAGGGAGATCAGGGCAGCTGAAAAAGGCACCCTGGAAGAGACAAGCTCCATTAAGGCCTTGTCCCCGCTGTGTGTTCCCGCACACTCCGTGTTCCGTGCAAGCAGCTCGTGGACTTGGTGGAATATCTGACCCTAGTCAGAGGCTTACACTGATAACCAGCAGATATAAATGTAGCTTGGGTTTAGAGAAGAGACTTTATCTCCGTGCTGGAGTGTTCCAGTAAGTTGTGTTCTCATGGAGACAAATAACCCTGGCGCTGGCTTCCTCCTCAGTCCCTCCCTTGCGTTTATCTTTTAACTCTGCTGTAGCCAGCCCGCTAGCTTGTCGTGCTCCGTGTCCCCAGAGGGGCTCTGAAAGGCACCTCTCAGCTGCCARCGGGAGGTGAGTGCAGATGATTGTCCCTGGATTGAGGCTCCGTGCTCCTAATGAGAAGCCCAGCTGTCCCCTTCCTTCGTAATTCTCAGCTGCCGCGGTGGAGAAGGGGGACAGGATTTCGAGTGTCCTGGGAGTCTGGTTTGCAAATTAGAGAGCCTCCATCTCCGTGGCATTTGGTTAACTGGGAATGGAAAAGCATGAAACCRTCCACCCTCTGTCACAGGCAATAATGAGATGCTTGTTTCTTTTTCCAGACCCTTCTGAAACCTAGGAAAGCCAACCTTTACCCCCACCTCCATTGTTCCAAAGTGATCCTTTTGGATGAAGTATAGAAGTGGAAACTGGAGTTAGTGCATGGCAAAGCTGGAAGTGTTGGCAAAGCTGCCTCAGCTGTTGCTGGCAGAGTGTTGTAGACAGCACCTAATTTGCTCATCTGCAGTCTAGAAATGGATTAAAAAAAAAAAAGAAGAAGTTAAAAAAAAGTGTGGTAGGCCTCAGGGAGACCAGAGAAACTTTCTGTTACTGGTGTTGAGTTCCGGGGTTTTTGTTTGTTTGGTTTTTTTTTTTTTTTTGGGGGGGGAGGGGTCCAGAAAGTTACTATCACCTTCTACCAAAATTGAATTATGACTTGATAAGAGTTATTCTAAGATAGTGCTTGGRTATCTGCAGGTTAGTAATGCCAACTTGAATTTTGAGCTGCAAACTCCCCATGTTTGCATGGTCCTTGTAACATAGTCTCTCATAGCACTTTTTCACCCTTTTCTCACTGCGGGTTCTGCTGGTGTGGAGGTGTCATTGGTGTTTTCCTGTGCTGTTGTGCCTGCCTGAGTGACACTGCTGTCCCTGTGTGAGCTGACTCAGTTTGTGGGGACAGCCGGGGAGGATTGTCCTTGTGCGTGCAGTGGGAGTGTTTCCTGCGTGGCAGCGAACCTGTCGCACAGGTTTATCGTCAGGGACTGTCAGTCTGACACCAGCACGGTGCCAAAGCTGTGYTCTCCTGCAGGCTCCTCACTGTCAAAGAACAGGGGGATTGTGCTGGGATAACACACAGTGCGTGGGGCCCCTTGGCTGCTGTCAAATCCGTGGCTATTCTTCCCTGTTGCTAGGGCCAGTGCCATATAAAGCTACATGGGGGGGAAAATAAAATCAAGGGGAGCCATTGTCTTCTCTGCTTGTGGGGAACACTATAAAAAGACTGTCTTGTGAGGCGAGTYACTGAATTAATACAACTCGGATTTGACAGCAATTGTTATTTTCAGCGCTGCGGTTTTGTCTCTCTGATCCATTCCTTCCTTTCTGAAAAGACTTTATAAACCTCTCCAATGGTTGAATAAGCTGTCCAGAATCTTTAAAAACAATTTAAAAATGGGAATTGTGCTAGAAAATATCTCCAGTTCCAAAAAACCACTGTTTGGTAAGTTCTCTCTAAAAGGAAATTACAGCATAGTTGCAGGTACCTTAGCTTACATCCACAAAGAAAAAAATTAAAGATAGTTCTGGTGGGCGTGCCAGATGGCAACATTCTTGCMTTATCCTCTGCTGGGAAAACTTACATAAAAAAGAAGCTAGATGACAACCATGTATTTATAAAAGGAAAATACTCAGTTATGTTATTGAAGTTCTGAAATCATCTTTTCCTTTAAAAAACTGCACAGAACCCCTATCTTTGGATTAGTGAATCCCTCTCCGAAGATTCCAGCACAGGGATTTTAAAAATGAGATTGATTTAAGTAGTTGTTGCCTGATCAGCCTTGGAGGGACGAGGAGCAGCTGGAGGTGATTGAGGGTGAGTGGCTGTTATTGGGGGCACCTGTGTTTGTGATTCATTTATAAACCAAACTGAGGGCAAGATGTGCTCTTCATCTCTGCCTAATTCKRCAGCACAGTGGAGGAGCCTGGCAGCTGCTTCTGATGCTMCACATGGTTTGTTGTTTGTTTYTTTCTTAATTGAAATCATATTTTGTGTGTAAATATATGTGCAGAAGGTGTAGYGAGGCATTAACTTTTCTCCACCCTTACATCTCTTGTGGAATARTAGCAAAATCAAAGCTGACGGGTTTGTTTGCAGACTGACAAGCAGTGTGGACTTTGCAATTCCTCAGGCTGCTCCTSCTCTTGGAGGAGATCAGAGCTGTTTGTTTTTATCCCTTCCTCGGTTTCCCGAGTTGCTGCTCCTTGTCCAAGGAATTCCCTTTGTAATGTGGGCAGTGTAGCAGCTGAGTGTTTTGTAAGTGCTCCTTCCATACTAGTGGAGATGTTTTTATCTTCTCTTGATCATGGACTCCCCCAGAGGACCAGCAGGCACTCCTAAACTGGAATTTGCTCATGAAAAATCAGTGTGTAGGCATTTGCTAACTGTKAGAAATGGGAAATATAGTGGATATCCAGCTGTTTTCCCCTGTGTTTTAATGTATTTGTTTCCTTCAGTTTTAGCTTGAGGAGTGTAATGATACTATGGGAGCAGGGCAGAGGCTCAACGGGCAGGAATGTGTTAACATAAAGTCACCGTTAGTGATGTATTCAGTTCCTTTTTTTAGTTTTTTTTTTAAAAATATCGGGATTAAGAAGTCTCTCGGGTTTGCCCATAAGTAAATTGGAGAGAGCTGTAAAGCTACTGCCAGCTTCCTGAAGATTTTTTTTAAGCCTTGGTAACAGTAATTTTGAGTTGTGAGGAAAGCAGAAGTGTTCCATAGCAGTAGGGTTTAAATGGAATCAGCTCTGACAATGAACTCGAAGGAAAGTAAAACATGGGGTTTAGGGTGACAGATAATGGAGTGCTGCTGCCTTATCCGTGAGGTTGGAGGTAGAGAGCGAGGAAGCTGCTGCCTGGCTTTTATTTCTGCAAGAATGAGTTTGCCTTGGAGTCACAGAGCTGTGCAGACCAGTTCAGGCTGGGAGATAGCTGCACTTGGCTCAGCACTTGGAAAAAACAACTTTTACCCCACTACTATGTTTTGGGAACGTGTAGTAGGTGAAATATGTGATTGTCATTTTAAATGTTGGTAGATAGGCTGTCTCAGAAACATTCATTTGGAATGGAAAAAATAAAAAAAGCATAGGAAGAAAGGCATTGTTCAGTGTGAAAGTTGTGTTTACTACATTGCAGTGATGTCCGGTCTTAATTGCTTCCTAATTGTTTGCTTTTGTGCCACAATTGTTTTCCCTTGTTTGTCATTCCTTTGTGTTTGCAGTGTAAGTGAGCCCTGCCATTTGCARGGAGGAGTTGGGGAACGAGGATCAYTTTTGGGGTGCATTTGTGCACTGGAGAGTGACTGGGATTTTTGTCTTTATCAAATGCYTTTGTCACCTTTTAATTTTCAGACAGGTCTTTGGATTTAGGGCCTCTTCATGGGGGTCACAGTTCCATCTCATGCTGTCCTGAGAGATACCACAGTCCTTTTTATTTTGTTTGAAAAAGGATAAAATATTAGAAGCACTTGTGTACTGGGCAGTGGCTGGAGGGTTGCAAGAKGCTGACAGAATGAAGCTGCTCGTTTTTCTTAGAGAAGTAAATAACAGCATTAAATTTGGTCACTTTAATTCTCCCCTCACAAGCCATAAGGCAGATCTTGCTGCCAGAGCTATCAATAAGCCTCTGGCCCACAAATCAACTTAAACCGCAGGACATGCTTTGTGATGCTTTTAGTATTTATAAACTAAGCCACTTCCTATTAGAATTGAGCTACAATGAACTTGCTGTTTGGGTTTTGTCGTGCCTTCTTTTTTTTCTTTTAAATGCATAGAGACAGAAACCATCGGTTACAAATTCAGTTGCTATAAAATCTGTTTTCAGCG